CCTATACTTTTTTTGCTTTTTGAGACGGAGAGAGAGAGAGAGAGCGCGCGCAAGAGAGAGCCGGAGAGAGACAGATAGAGACAGAGGTAGCCAATGAAATCGTTTCACATATTAAACGTCGACCAGGTCTCGATAACTACGCGCCACTCCAAAACACGTTGCATGCCTAATTTTCGAACTTCTCCAAGATCCCGATTTTTTCGATTTTCTGGTGCCTCAAAAAGCACTTAAACTCGGCAATCTAGCAATTGCTGTCAATCAATCGCCTTTTCTAGAAGAAGTGCACCCCCGGGTACAATTTCCGTCTTTCCATTTCCGCCCATTGTCCTCTCTGATTACTTCAACTCAATCGAGTCAAAAAGAGAAGAAAAAGATGATGATAAATCTGGGCGTGGGCGGGAAAAAGCAGCAAAGTGAAGACATACCGAGTTTTTTCTTGGGTTCGAGCTGCTCGTCTCACTTTTTGGACAGTGGTATTATCAGGGGGGGGGGGGTTGGGCGGGGAAGACTAGGGGAAAGGTGAGACAAAGATTTACGAGGCTCATCATCATCATCATCAATAGCTGAGGGGTGGAGGGCAGGGCAGCAGGGAGGATTGGCTGCTTTGTGACAGCTGAACGATCAGAGATGGGGGTTATATATGAGAAAAGCTGAGGTAGGGATTTACAAAAATAGGATTAAAGGTGTTAGAATGTAAGAAAATCGCCTTGTGAAACTTTAAATTCTGGTCCAAATAATGCTAAAGTTTACAATACGGTTTTCTGCCAACACGATCTTCGATGCTCATTAAAAACAGCCCTGGCAGTTCATTCGTTTTGTCGACACCTAGTCGGGCTCGACGGTTGATTATGGCGCATCACTATGCCTTCAAAAAAACCCTGGTAAGTCTTAGCTTCTCTATATGGATGTGTCAAGAAAGCGTTGAATCACCGCGTTCGATGGATTGGATTGATCAGAAAAATGAAAATAACCAACCTCCAAAAATTATTTGAAAAATCTATTGTTTAACACGTCGGAATTAAAAGTCGTAATGCGTTTTAGCTAGCGTGACTAATCGAGTTTGCCGGATCCGTTGCATTAGTAAAAAAGCCATTAATATTTTTAGCACAGCATTTTAGAAAAATTGAAAACTGAAGACTGACAAAGTCGTCAAAAACTTAGAAAAAACACATTTTGATAATGGAAAGTCGCTAGGCTTTACAGAAAATAAGCTTGCATACCTAAAACGGTAGCTACGGTTTAATTTCCTTTGATACGTTACGGCCTAAGATCGTATCTACCCACTCGTACTTCCCTTCACGCGTTTTGTAGCCCGGGGAGATAATAGGATTTGCACGTGAATTAGGACAGGACAGAGCATTGCAGGGGACGCCCTTTTCTCGACAGTCGGAGTCCGGTGTACCACAATTTCCGGTACATCCCCTGGTACAGTACCACTTTTAGGGACGCCGATTCGTTCTCTTTTCCTACTTCTTGAACCTGACGGCCTATTTGGAGGCGTGGCCTGACCAAACGCGGAAAATAACATGGAAAATGAATGGGTGGGTTTTGGTTCTGCGTGAGAATTTGCAAGATAGGAATCTAGTAGAGGATTTTTGGTGCACCTGGTACAGTACCACTTTTTAGTGTCCGGGATTCGCATTCTTCGTACTTGATACGTAGCTGGGCGGGGTCTTGGGCCTGAATATACCAGAAAAGCCAGAATGGGCTACGGTAACTGCCTTTCCCTCAATGTGCCAATCTGCATTAACCGCACTTCTTGAGTTTGACGGCCCGGAATTGTGGGCGTGGCTTCACGAAATGCGGAAAATAAGTTGGAACGATATTGGATTGTAGTCTTGCGTAAAAATTGGTAAAACAGCAGCTTGGTAGAATATTTTTTGGTACTCCTGGTACATTACCACTTTTTAACCATGTTCAACTTGTACCCGATACGACGCTGGGCGTGGCGTTTAGCAAAAAAGCGGGGAAAGGGGCTTATGCGGCTACGGTAGCTGTCTTCTGTCGTTTGCTGGGTCGTTCTAACCACAGCTATCCGAACTTGCTGAGCTCCAAGCCCTAAATGAGGGGCGTGGCGGGACCAATGAGAGCCAGAACCATGTAAAACAACTTGGTAGTCGTGCAGTTTTGCAGAGTAGCACGCTTTCTGGAGCGCCGTACTAAAAATTGGGTACATTGGCTGGTACAGTACCACGTTTTAGAGAATCGCCATCTGTACTTCTTGAGGCTCTTGGTGGTACCAAGGCAGGAAAACAGCAAAAAAGGCAAGCATGCGATTACGGTAGCCTCTATTTTGCAGTTTTCCTACTGCAGGATACCCGTACTTTCTGCACTTCTGGGCCGTAATCTTGGGCGTGGCCGATGTACCAGGGCCGCTATTGGCCCTAATTACAGCTTAGGAGCCCCGCTAGCATGCAGATATGCGTGACTAGAAAGAGGAGCCACATGGAATAGGGTAATGAAGATACGCTACATCCTATGGTACGGTACCACTTCTTATATGACGGGTAACTTAATATCTTCCTCTTCGTTGGGGGTTATGGAGAGTTTGCAAAAGAGTATAGCTACCGTATTCCGCGTTCTCACACGCTACTTTGCTAAATTTGGAAAACAAGCTAAATTTTCGCGGTTCCCGAGTCTTTATACGAAGCCGGGTGCGATCATTCCTGAAATATGGGAAGCGTGCCGTCATCCTTTGCACCAGTCCGACAGTTCCGAACTGCTTGCGCTTCTCGGCAAAAAACAGGCGGTGGCTAGATCCTAGTCGGTAGATAAAGCACAAATTGTGTTATCGCGCGCGTGTTTTGCAGAATCAGGACCCTGTACCACTTCCTCTGGTACGCAGTACGCCTTTCGGGGTACAAAAGTGAATTTAGTATGGCGGGATTTGTACTTGCTGAGGCTCGCGGCATACTTTTGAGCGGCAAACAGCAAAACAAAGTAGATTATTGGGTCACGGCAGTCCAATTTTGCCGTTTTATGCCCTGTACCAAATTCCGTTCCAGTGGCAGTAACTACGCAAAAAACGCATATATTGTGTCCTAGTGTATTCCATTTTGTACTTGTTTGCAGCACTCGAGCGCCGTACCGCTTCTTCTGGTACGCAGCACACCTCTAGAGGTACAAGAATGGGTTTGGTATGCCCGGATTAGTGCTTGTTGAGGTTCGGGGCGGGGTCTCGAACAGAAAAATAGACAGAAAAATCAGTTCAGGACTAGGGTAGCCCGCTTTCCTCTTCTCAACATGAGTTTGGGGGCGTGGCGGGACCCAAAGCAGTATTACGCAAAAAATGCAAAAATTGTATCGTTATTGCAGAATTGGAACCTTGTACCAAGGAGAGTGGTACAAAATCCACCACCCTGGTACTGTACCATCCGGTAATGTAATTTTTTGGAGCAGAATTTGCACTTGTTGGTGAGGGGCTGTCAAGGAATGCAAAGATTATAGGGCTGCCGCAGGGGCAGAAATGGGCAGATTGAGCAGAAAACAGCGGAGAAACCAGTAAAAAAAGGCAGAATTAGGTTGCCTACGGTAGTTCCCTGGTGAGAGAACTGTGTTGTTACCTTTGCCTTGTGTTTCAGAGATCGTTTCGTCTGATCAATTGGGATCTTACAGAACTCTGGCTTCAGAGCTTGCGCCATACTACTGTTGCTGTAAATCGTAGGTATTTAATTAAGAATTCATCTAATGGTTAATCATTTTTAGCGTATTTTTTTCCTGATTGCTTTAAACTGTCTCTCTTTCTCTCCCCTCTCTCTCCCTCACTCTCTCCCTCTCTTGCTGTTGCTTTCTTTCTCTCTATCTCTCTCTCTCTCCTGACTCTCTCTGACTCTCTCTGGCTCTCTCTGGCCGTCTATCTGGCTCTCTATCTGGCTCTCTCTCGCTCTTTCACCTCGACTGACCTCATATTACCTCGCACTTTTTGTGCGTGAAACGGTTGGTTATGCTACAGCCAACTCGTTTATCCAGTTTCGATCCAGTCGCGTTAAAAAAATCAAACCTTCTGCTTCAATACGCTTATAAAAACTTCAAGTGGAACCTCAAACGCTACGACAGCAAAAACCGACGTAGACCCTTAATTCAAAGCCCTCCACCTTCCCAGCTAAACGGTCCATTTCCTAAACAGTGATTCGCATGTGGGAGCATCTTTAGGGGGGGAGGGGGTGATGTTCCCAAGTTCACATCGGCTTTCACTCTTTTTGTGTTGGGAAGGGCATGGGGGCTCGGGAAAACCGAAATATGCCGCTTTACAGGATGTTCGTCGTAGTGAAGGGGTTTTATGAACAGCTAGTCTGAGGAAATTTTAAAGGGATTAGCCGGCCTTTTTAAGGGCTTCGCGAATGATGGATACAAGATTATTTGAAACCTACGGAGAGCGATTTGGCGCTGTACGGAGACGCGGAATGCCGGCCGTTCAAAGCCGTGAAAAACCGTTTTCAAAAAGAAAGTTAAGAAATCGGAATACCCTTAAATGACTCTGTTGTTTGCGTTTTAACAATGCGATTGACAATTTCATGGCCCGGGAAAATGTCTGAAAAACCTCCTTTTGGAAATTACTTTTTCGAAAGGTAAATAATTTAATCGAAACTTTTTTTTTGAAAACATTCCGTATAGTCCAAATCAATAGGACAATCGGAAAAATGAATTTTCGAAAACACAGCGAATCCCATGGCAGTGGCTTGACCGTCCCTTTAACAGTCAGCCACTAGTTTCAGGCTCCTAAAATCCAGAACTCAGTCGAGCTTTCCAAAGCTCAAAAACTCAATAAAATTACCGAGATAGCACCTGCATACGCATCTGTAACAATTTCTAAGTAGATGAAAATTAGAATTAAAAATTCCTTGTACTGTTTTTACCATTTTTTCAAACCATTTCCGGAAAGACCTTTATTACCACAAAAATAATCACAGACACGACAGCTCTGGTATATTTTTTGGGGAAAATGCACTTGATTGTGTACAGAAATTCGTAGGTTGATTTGGATGTAGCAGATGTAATTAGTATCCAGGCGCAGTTCTCGGTGGTGGACAATGTGAGCATCCACCAGCATTCCCAGCGACGCCATCGGGTCCTCGTCCTCCTGGGCCGCCAGGCTTTCCTGGTGCTCCCGGAGCTCCCAGATTTCCAATCTCTCCGGGCTGGCCGTCAAGTCCAGGCTTTCCGGAGGCTCCTGGGAATCCGTCAGGGCCGGGTGCTCCAGGAGTTCCGGGTCTTCCTGGGGCTCCATCAGGGCCGGGCACCTCGCTGAGGACGCCCGGAGCACCAGGTTGGCCTCGGGAGCCGGGGAGACCTGGGGATCCTGGGGGACCGATCGGCCCTTGGCCTCCGCGAGGTCCAGGTTTAGCGGGTGTGCCTGGTGCTCCAGGGATTCCGGGGCCACCTGGGTATCCCTTGGGTCCGGGACGGCCTTGAGGGCCAGCGGGGGCATCGGGGCATTCGAAGCACCAGTCCTGAAAACAAGGAAATTACGGTAAAGAGTAAATTAAATATATTTTAAGGTGATTCACATGAAAATCTGACTCATCTTTTTCGCTCTCTATCACTCAATATCTCTAAGTCTCTCTATTCTCTCGCTCTCCTAAGCACTCTTTAGCTTTCTCTTTCTCTTTCTCTCTCTCTCTCTCTCGCACTCTCTCTGTCTCTTTCTCTCTCTCTCTCTCTCTCCTTCACTCTTTCTCTCTCTCTTTCTCTGGCTCTCCCACTCTATCTCTCACTACCACTCCCTCTCTCTCGCTCTCTCTCCTTCGCTCTCTCCCTCTCTCTTACCAAGCTTGGCGGTGGTGGAGCCTCAAGTCCGGGAGGTCCATTTTTCCCAGGGAACCCAGGCGCTCCATCCTCTCCATCACGACCATCCGGGCCAGGGAGTCCAGGTGGTCCCATAGGCGATACTCCGCAGCCACAGCATGCTCCTGAAATTATAAAAATGCGTGTATTCCCCGTACCCCGAAAAAGTTGGTTGAAAGTCACGCGATTGACTTTAAAACAACTTTATTTAAAGCAATTAAAAGAACTTAGAAATCTTTCAAAAAATGTCAAAAAATCGTAAAATTGAAAATCTGGTCATGCTTCAAAAAAAATTCGATCTTGTCTTACCAGTCTCATGCATACGCTTGGAGGGACCCACTAAAATAGGTTAGGAAAAGGAATTTAGGAACAAAGAACAAATTTCTCATTTTGAGAAAACAATGGTAATTGGTGAAAAAATGTTATCCGGAGCCCAATTATGCTTTTTGTCTTGAAAAATGCGATTTCGTTTCTCCGTTTGAATATTTTTTAGTAGAGAAACAAAAACGAAAGGAAAATGTTTAGTTTTATGATAAGGAAAAACGGTGAATCCCCGACTAAAGGGATCTTCCAAAATATTGACATTTTTAGTTTAATTGTAGTTTGATTTAATGATGTAATTTTCTATTTTTTCTAATGGCTAATTTTGATAAAATTCAGCTATTTACCTAGCCCTATAAACTATGTTTTAGTCTTAATTAGCTGACCGGGCAAATAATCAACCCCTATCTCGACCTTGACTGCCCACCGAGCGGTGCTTCCGCTTTTATTTTGACCAAAATTATGGCTTTTTGCCGGTAACTGGAGGGCAGGACTTGATAACTGAAGTGTGGCTGGGAGAGGTCGACCATTGTCATGCCCCCACGACCACAAAAAGAGAGGGTGAAGCCGGGGGCAAAAAGAAAAGCCGCCCTGCCTCGTCTCACCCCAGCCGATCACATCAGTTTCTCTTTTCACTATCACTTTTCGATGCCCATTATGAGGAAGTGATTGTTTTTGTGCGGCGGAGCCGGGAGGATGGATGATGGAAAAATTGGAGTTGGGGGTCGGCAGAAAAGGTATTTTACAAACATCCATAAAAATAGATCTAGAAGTTTTTGCCCGACGCCATTGGTAATCAAGAAATAGTTTTTTTAACTTACTCGATTAAGCGTTATTTTTTCTGTCGTGATCACTAGAAAGCTTCAATTTTGAGAAATTGCGCAGCAACTTAGACCCATGAAGCTACGCGCGTCGCCTAGACATCCACATCTTTGCGATTTTCGCACTTGTGCATCCGGAGTTGTCGAAAACTCGTCGGTGCAGAGCAGAATTGGGCGCTGCTTGGCTGTTTTAAAGATGGTTTAGGATGCACCAGTCCAATTCCTTATTTTGACGGTGTATTTTAATTTTTTTGCGCTCACTTGAAGCCGATTATCAGTATAAACTGGGGGAATTCGCCCACGAGTTTTTGTTCTAACTGCGGCCATGCGAAAATTCTGGGCTCCGACTCACCTTGAACGGGTCCAAAAGAGCCCTCAACTCCGAGTGATTGAGTCTCGTAGCCGGATTGTCGCTTTATTCTTCCACCGGCTACCTGAGCGAGGACCTAAAAATGAATTATAATTACCTTATTCGACAAAAAAGGATGCTATCGTACCTGTGTCTTCGTCACCTCCCGCCAAATATTCGAGGAGCGCTGTCGGCAAAAATCGACTTCTGACTAAAAAAATGGTACTTGGGATGCCGTTTTCGATCTCCCGCACTCTCGTTTTTACTCCCTCTCACTCTCTCTCTCCCCCTCTCTCTTTCTCTCTCTCTCTCTCTCTCTCTCTCTCTCTCTCTCTCTCTTCTTACCTGCATCATCGACTGTAAATGCTGAAGGTAGCTATAACATAGCGGGACTGCTAGTACGCAGATGAGTGTTGATACGGTGGATACACTAACACCGATGAAGGCCAGCCTGCAAGAGGATTTTATGGTCGTTTGAACGTCATGCAATAGCAATTTTTGATGTCTGAATCGGCCTAATTTTAATGAATTTTCCAAATGGTGTTCAGGGACGTAGCGTAATACCGGCCCCGGGGGCCCGGGGCCCCCCCCGAAATCGGCGGGGCCCGAAAATTTCATAAGGGGGGACCCTTCTGATTTTCATTTTCTCTAAAATTTTGCTGCCTGCGGCGCTATTTTTTCACGTTTTTACGGCTATTTGTAGAGCTATGTAACCTCTTTTTCAAAATTTTTGCCTGCGGCGCTGTTTTCTCGTTCATGTTTTGAGTTTTTTGGAAAATTTTTTGGGGGGCCCCCCCCCGAAATTTTTTCCTGGCTACGCCCCTGATGGTGTTTATGCAAAACCTGACCTCCTGAACGCGGCCGCATCCTTCTCCAGCGACTTTTCGTCGCTCATCTGCGCCCTGAAAAAAATCTAATGGGTTGGCAAACGACGTTCAACGCATTCAAATGAATAGAAAATGGGCTCGGTGAATTCATTTACAGAAATTGGACTTGAAATGGATCCGAAATCGATTCGAACTTGAAATCGAAAAACGAGAAGGCCACGAAACAAGCAAACCGGCTACTGTTTAATGTACCACCCAGGAATCCCGTGGTCGTGGAGGTTATCAAATTTGCATAGGGCTTTTAGCCACTCGAGAAGCGGGTTTTTTGGGGGAAACCCTGGAGGCTGGAGGGAGTGGCTGACCTTTTAGGTCGGGCTCCAGAAAGAGGCCTAAAATGGAGAGCATAACGGCTTGCAAATTGAAAAAAAGTTTTGGTATATCGGTGATACCCCAAATCAAAAATTTTGTCAAATGGTTAAAATTAAATAAATTTGTAAACTAAATTCCTAAATAAAGTCAAGCCAAGAAATTTGCTGCGCAAGTATTTTTCAATTTTGCATACTAGATACAGGATGGGATTGGCCACCAAAGCAGGTTTTAATACACATGTAATCGATCAATAAGATTTCCGATATTTTAGGAAACGTGGAAACCGAAAAATCAGAAGCGTCACTCGAAAAAATCGTAGCTGGAAAGACCGTTCCTTCTTTTCGGTTCTTGTCGAAGCATCGTCCAAAAATGACCATCGCCTAATCCCACAGTGTTTACGGGGTTTTCGAGGGATCAGGTGTTTCGAGGTGCATTGCGTAGGGGTAGAAGGATAGAAGGTGGGGGGATCGTTTGAAAACAGGCCGGTCCCCTCCTTTGCAGCCGGGGAAGGAGACAAAAAGCTCGAAAATCCCCGGTCATACTTGTAGCCCCTGGGCAGAAGCCAAGGCTAAGGATTGTCCAGAGCCGGAGAGAGAGAGACAGAGAGAGAGAGAGAGATGCCCTTCGATGCCCGCGCATTCCGACGTGGAGATTTCCCAGTAGAGATTGGTCAGGTTTTGTCTTACCTAGCCACCAGCCTAGGGGTGCCACTTTGCTGCCTGTTAAGGGGTAGTGGGGTGGAAAGTATGGGAGCGAGACGCGTCTGGAGCTTCAACTTTCGGTCTGAGTTGGAATTTTTGTGGTTCTGCGACAGTTCTTCGAGTATACTTTTCAAATCCTCGCAAAAGCTTCGGAAATCCATGAAAATCAGCAAAACGTGACAAAATCCACCTTACTTCACACAGTTCTGGAAAAAATCCGTAGCAACTTGTTTTTAAAGGAATGACGAAGCGTCAGAATCTACCCCCAATCCCAAACCGGGCATTGACAACTGCGCGCAGTGGACAAGGTCGGATATCGCCGCATCTCGCTATCTCTAGAACGTCCGTTAGCAAGGCCTACGACATTGGCATCGTGCGTGCTTAGGTGCTACGTAACTGTCGAAACCTACTCAACGGCAGGCGTCGATGTTTGCTTTTTTTAGCCCTTTTAATGGTTTTTATAGGGAGTTTAAGCGGGGCGGGTATGCGGTTTTCGAAATAGATTCCGCATAGCTTAAGCTTCGTTTTAGGCGTAGCTTTAGGGATAGGCCTATTCGTTGGCTCAGGTTTGAAGCTAATGCTTAATTTTAGGGAAGCTGCGGATAGTGTTACTGTAACAACCTCAAATGAGATTCCGGGCAGTGGCAGCGGTGCCAGTGTGCCGTTGTTACGAGTGGTAGAAGTGGAAGTAGTTGGTGCTCCTCTAGGACTGATAGGACCGGCCTCCGGGGGGATGAAGGAGTGGCATGAGGAGGATGGAGGGCAACATGACAGCAATATGCAGATATTCCTGTCTCCCTCCGGCTCCTCCTCATCTCCAGCTGGTATGCTCCGAATAATAGGAGGAAAGATATTACGAGTATGCAGGAAGAGGAGGCGGAGCTTATGGGATAACGGGGGCATAGTGGAATGGCATCACATAGCAAGAGACAGACAGCAACTACGGAATAACAAATTACGCCTAGAGCCCCCCGGTGGCAAGGAAATGGGTCTGGGAATACCGTACGGAATTGGTGACATGTGGGTGATTGAGGGGAGGTGAGTCAGGGGATGATACGATTGTGCGATCGTAAGTGAAAACAGGTGTTTTTACTAGATTTCACGACGGTACCTAGCTATTTTGGGTCATTAATTCTAAAAATTATAGATATTAAATGAATATAGCAAATTTCCTGGCTTTCGAAAATGACTGTACCTTATTATTGTACATTGGTATTCACATGAATGCCGAGATGAGCCAAGGTTGAATACGAAAAGATAGGATTTTTGATCAATATCTGAAATCAGCTACTGACATTTTCCGAGCTTCTAACATGCCAATTTACCTTAAGCTTTTCATTTTGTGGGCCATTTCAAAATCAATTTTGCTACGACTGGGCCTGATCTAATTTGTTTTACAACTTTAGATGGCGTTTGAACTTTAGGAAGTATGTTGCATCAGAATAAACTACAGGAAATTGGGGCAAAAAAATTCACGAAACTTGCCTTTCATCGATTCACGAAAATTTTTAAACAATTTTTGCCTATTCGTCAAAAGCGAAAAGATTAAAATGTTATGTATAATAAATAAACGAAATGTTAAAAATGCGAGGGGACAGAGTCCCTGAAAAGCGGTAACACAGGTTTAATTCATTTAGGCGAATTTAGGATAAATTAAAAAACCGGTTCAGTTTTTTTGCAGTTGGGTACATGATAAAAACGAAGCATAGAAGCTGAAGGGAAGCTCCCTCGAAATCCACCTTCCGGAATGACGAGTACCCGGAATAAACTACGAATGAGCTGTCAGCTCCGATCGGAATAACTTTCGAAAACGAGCTGTCCCCCCGGTCGGCCAAGACTTCACTTTCCAATCTGCCTTTATACCCCCTACGGCATAGGGTATGGGCCGAAAGAAGCAGAAACGGCAATTTGCATACGACTCGTTTTCTTTTCCGCCCTGGGAAGGGAGAGGGGAAAAGCCTTCTTCTGCCTCACTGCCTTGGGCCGTTTTTTGAGGGATTCCACCATCTTGCCGTTTCCGGCACACAATGGAATTGGATCTGGGAGTGCGAGGGCATCATCTGAAAGTCTGTGAGGTGGAAGGTGAAACAGATTAGACCTGCCTTGGGGGGTTAGTAGATGAAGAAAGGTCACGAAATCGGTGCGTGCGATCGTAGCCAATATCCTTCACTTGCCAATTCTTTTGATACGCTTCAGGTATTTCCAAAAGGTATCGAAGTATCTAAATTTTGCGGGCGGTACAACAACCCATTGAAAAAACTCAAAAATTGCTGTTGCTAACCTGGTTCTGGCCAGACGGTCCGGAACAATTTAAAAGGCTGTTCGCGAGAGACCAGAACGGGCTTGGTACAGTTTTTTTCGACCCTGTTTTTTTGACGCCATCTGAAAGAGCATGGTCGAATTAGTAGGGCCGCACTATTTTGAGAATTTTAAAAGATCATTTTCGGGGGTTAAATGGCGCCTAAAGTTGCGTATCTCAAAAATTTATCTCGAAAACCACACGGCCGATCTTGCTGAAAATTTTTGTCAATGTCTAATTTGGGATGGGGATCATTTCTCTAGTACATTGAAAAGCACGAAAATGGCAGGAACATAGGTATATTGCGTACTATAAACAGTTTTTGAGGGTTTTCTACTACAAGGCGGGTCCGGCGCATCTTGAAACTAGCATAGAAAATTGCGTCGGAAAATTCTGCGTCGAATAATGTGCTTGCCAAGATGCGCCCAACTCGCCTCTAGCCGCTGTACCGAGGTTTCGACGTCGAAAACCATCAAAATTGACGCTTTTGGGAGAATTCCCGGGGCCAGGTCAACGAGAGAGTGCGGAAGGCGTAGAGAGTCGAGACAGGCAGACAGCAGCCCTGGGGGAGCGAGTCGGGTGCTGCCAGAGAGCCCCCAACTTGACCACCCTAGCCGTCTCTGTCCTCGCCCCCTCTCGCACTATCTCGCATCGCCCTGCCCAGAAATCCCCCAAAAAGCGTCAATTTTGATGGTTTTCGACGTCGAAACCTCGGTACAGCGGCTAGAGGCGAGTTGGGCGCATCTTGGCAAGCACATTATTCGACGCAGAATTTTCCGACGCAATTTTCTATGCTAGTTTCAAGATGCGCCGGACCCGCCTTGTAGTAGAAAACCCTCAAAAACTGTTTATAGTACGCAATATACCTATGTTCCTGCCATTTTCGTGCTTTTCAATGTACTAGAGAAATGATCCCCATCCCAAATTAGACATTGACAAAAATTTTCAGCAAGATCGGCCGTGTGGTTTTCGAGATAAAATTTTGAGGTACGCAACTTTAGCGGCCATTTAAATCCCGAAAATGACTTTTTAAAATTCACAAAATAGTGCGGCCCTACCCATTCGACTATGCTCTTTCAGATGGCCTCAAAAAAACAGGGTCGAAAAAAACTGTACCAAGCCATCATGGGGGCAGTTCGGGTCTCTCGCAAACGGCCTTTTAAATTACAGTATAGAGCAAAAGAGCAAAAGGTAATTTCAATTTTGCCCAAATCGGTTGTCCAGTGTCTGCAATTTTAATTTATTAAATTAAGTTAGATTATCGCTGCAATTGATCATTTTGGATGGAATGAACGTTAGCAGACCAAAATCAAAGCAAATTTGCGCATTCTAGAAGGCCACATTCTAGGATCCAAAAGAATTCCTAGGTATTACACTCAGGGGCGTAGCCAGAAAAAAATTTCGGGGGGGGGGCCCAAATAATTTGTCCAAAAAACTCAAAACATTAACGAGAAAACAGCGCGCTACCCTACGTCCCTGATTACACTTACCTTTTAAAAATTTTCCCAGGCTGTTCCCTTGCAATATCCAAAACCCAAAATAAATCGCGTTTATTTGCAAAGTGTACTATTGACGGTTGGTTAATCGAATAAGTAACCTTCTTTACAATCGAACCGATAGCGCATGCAACGGATTTTATTTTCGATATCTTTAATGCTACCCTAACCAATCAAAGTTTCGATACTCTATACGTTCAAGA